CTACCAAACGATGTAGAAAAAAATGTTTATAGCAACACTATCTAACAGTAAAAACGTGAATATAATCCCAAACTCTATCAACAGTGGAAATGAATAAATACAATGTAATACATTACACAATGGAACATCTTATAGTAATGAGAATGAATAAACTACTGCTATATACATCATGGATGAACCTCACAAATACAGTGCTGAGCAAAAGCAGACAGACACAGAACTATAGACTTCATTTATATGAAACCTGGAAACAAAATCTACGCTGTTACATACAAGTCAGCGTAACGGTTAGCCTAGCGGACAGGCAGTCACTGGGAAGAAACACAAGCGGGACATCTGGAGTGCGTGATAATTGGTTCTGGGCGTGGGTGATGTTTATGTTGTAATATTTTTTTAAAGACTTTATTTATTTATTTTTAGAGAGAGGGGAAGGGAGGAACAAACAGAGGGAGAGAAACAACTGTTTGCCTCTCGCATGCCCCCACCCGGAGACCTGGCCCGCAACCCAGGCGTGTGCCCTGACCGGAATTAAAGAGGCGACCTTTCGGTCTGTGGGATGATGCCCAACCCACCGAGCCTCACCCGTCAGGGCTGTAGTGAAAATTTTTCAGCTACACTTTCATGATTTATTTTTTGTACTTCAAAAATGAATTCTTAAAATACACTCAGAAAAAACTCACTAATTTCAAGCTCTTTAGCATAACATTAAGACCCTTCACAGTCTGGTTCCAGTCTGCTTTTGGGCCGTGTTTCTGAAACTTTACTTCTTGTTCCCAGCTCTGCATTCTCCAAACTTCTGTCCTTTGAGTATGTGTTCTGCCCTGTCTCGACTACCCTATGCCCCTGGACAACTCATGCCCATCTCTTATCCTCTGTTCAGATAGCACCTCTGTGAAGCCTTTCAGGCTCACTCCAATCTCTTTCTGGAAACCTACAATAACTTCTAAAATCTTCTACTTTAGCATAATTTACCATACTGTTTTATAACTATTTATGTGTTTATTCCACTAGAATGTGACCTGCCTGTGAAATGCCTGAGAACAGGTGCTGGATTTTAATTCTGTACCTCCGTGGAAGCATAGTACCTTATCCACTCATCATACCTATCGTGTGAAATGCTCTGCAACAGGTGTCTGGAAATACAGGAGTAAGCGAGCTTCTCAAGAGCTTATGGTCTGCCAGAGATAGCGCTCAATAAAGCAAAAAGAGAGGTGATATATAAAAGAACACATAATAGGACAGGAACAAGCATTTTATTTTTTTAATAATTAGCTTTACTGGGGTGTAATTTACCTATGATAAAATTCACTCTCTTAAGTGCATTATCTCTACAAGTTTTTTCCCCCAACCAAAAACCAGCTGCATTAGTGCTGCTGGAGTCTTTACAGACCATACGGTGCACTCAGACTACTCCCCAGGGCTCCAAGGACTGCCTCCAGTTGTCGGGGACAATACTGTCTAGCGCTTACACTGGAACGACGTATATAAAGCTGAGGGGTATGCGTTTTCAGGAGCACAGGCTAACACTGTGAGGCAAGTACTGAACCTAACACCAGCTCTCAGCATGGACTGGGTTTTGGGCCAAGCTGGGTAACTCCTAAGTGATTAGGTGCTAGGGCTGCAGCGGCCGGGTAGCAGGAGAAGGCACGTAGGGCTGAGGCTCCGCGTGGCCCTGTCCTTTCGCCTTCATCTGCAGGTACCACCCTTTGCCATACTCAAAGCACCTCTTCCCATCCTTGGTATCAGGCACGAGCTGGGGCACGCACGGCGACTTGTCCCCCTTGCTCCTTGCTCCCAAGGGACACCAAGGTGAAGAAGGCACTGGCAGCTTGCTAGCGCTTCTGTGAGATGTCCACCGTGGGGTTGGCATCCACCAGGACCTCGATCTCCAGGGACGTGTTGCTTATGAAAGCCATGTTCCCAGAAATTGTGATGACACACCCTTTTCTGATCTTGTGAAAGTTAATGGCATCCACGGGGGCTGTCACTACATTGGCCTTGCAGTGACGTGCAGCCACGATCCCAGCCACCTCATCCATGAGCTTCATGGTAACACTTCCGTGCACAAAGCCGTGCAGCGTGCAGTCTGAAGGCCCCACCAGATGGATCAAGCTGGACTGGCTGTTAGGCTCCGGGTTCAGGACAGGCGGGACAATGTCCCCATTCCTCCACTTGGATGCCATGCACTCCAGTTGCTGGGCCCCTTACCGCCTGCAGCCCTACTCCTACTGCTCCTGTTAGGCATACAAAACCAGAGGTACCTCCGGGACCTTGTCCACGTTCTTCAGTGACAAGGGCACATACCACAGGGTCTTATTGGTCAGCTTTTTGGTGCCTGTGAGGATGTTTTCAGACATCACATTGACCTGGAGTTCCACTCAGTGCTGGGAGGTATAGGTGATCTCCTCGCTGACGTGCAGCCACCTCACTGACAACAAACACAGGCAATAGGAAGTCGGTGTACTCGACCTGGGCCAGGGCGGCCGCACAGCACTCCCAGTCCGGCTGTTACAATGCCATGTGCTGCTGACAACCCCCACCTCCTCAATCGACTTCAGGATGGTTCCTCTATGCACACTGCCAGCCACGTTGGCATCATCTGGCCACATCATCCAACAGATCTGCATGGCAGATGGGATATAGGCGGCTGGTGGCTGAAGGAGAGGACAGCTGTCTGGCCTAGTTCTACAAGTTCTCACAACTGTTTACAGTTGTGCGACTACCCTCACAATCAACAACAGAACAAGAGTTCGCCTTTCCTCAACTCTACCCCTGGGCAACTGATCCCTATAGTTTTCCACCCTTATAGTTTTGCCTTTTCTAGAATTTTATAAAAACAAAAGCATACAGTAGGTAGTCTGTGTCTGCCTTCTTTCACTTGCTTCTAAAATTCATAATGCTTCTGAGATTTATCTGTGTTGTTTTCTGTATCAATAGCTCATTCCTTCCTATAGGTGAGTAGTATTCCGCTGTATGACTATATCACAATCTGGAAGGAAATCTACTAAAGGATGTGAGGAGCCATAAAATAAACTACTATGAAAATTCCATCAATTATAAATAATTTATATTCATATATATTTTAACCCCTTGTTATCCTATAATGATCAGCAATAAAAACTTTAAGACCTAAATAAAGGATAAAAACGAATCGTATGTTTTTATTTAATGATTAGTACGTACGTTGGAAAAAAACTGTCTTTCCTCCCAGACAATCCAGGAGAGAAAGGAACCCCTACGGCATAGAGCACATGGCTGCAACTCAAAACAGGAATTAGACTAAATTCGTGGGACCTGCGGAAAGAAGTCAGGTATCCCCGAGGAGCCCCCGCAGGGGTTAGAAGCAATACTAGGGGCTTACTGCAAAAAATATTGGAATCTTCTTAACATTTTTTCAAACATTTATTTCATGTACAAACATTTTACCTAAGCACTAACAACTATATTCTCCTTCAGGATCATTTTTTGGTGTGTTTCTGGTTGATAGAATTAAAGTAACTCTGTATCTATGTCCTGTCAAGGAAGCTTCAATGGGAACTTTTTGATTCCCACGTCACGTTACTTGCAGCAGATACTAGTATTTTGGAGCCATGCTCACTCACCAGAGCTAAAGATAAACCCAATGAAAATGAAAATTGTCCTTTCAATGACAGTGCTTATGGGGATGCAAGCAGTGATGGGTGGCTTGCCAAGTATCCTTTTCTGAGTGCAGAATAATTATATTGCCAGCGGACTGGAAGAAGAGCTGGAAGACTGTCTTGAGCCCCATCTCAGTGTTTTTAAAATAACATGGTTAGTTGCATATCTGTACTGCGTTAAAGTGACACCATATAGCCTATTAAGTGCTGTATGACTATTTTCCAGTGGAATTACTAAGTGCATACTTAACTGGGCCATATTACTAAAAAAGAAATAACGGGAATACTAGTTTTCATATTGCTCTGGAAATAAGCAATTTAAAGTGAGAATCCTTGAAATATAAAATGATACTCTACATTTATGTAAACATTCCTAAAAGTTGTTAATAATAACATTAATTTTGTGAGTTCTACCTATTCTAATTTATGCCTATCCTTGAAAGTTAGTAGAGTTCTAATACTGAGTAAGATCCTAAGAGACAAATTAACTTGGGATTTCTTCTTAAGAATATAGTAACAATGGTTTTCATCTTCACAGAAAAGACCTTACCTAAATTTTCTTGCCAGATTTCCTGACAACTGAAAGACTATAACCATACCAATATAAAGAAAAATACTATCAGATAAAGACAAACTAAAACACCATTTCTAGTAAGTGTAAGGATGCATGCTTTTTTCTTTCCTTTGTCTCGAAGTCTGAAAAACTAGGTTTCACAATCATATGATAGCTCTAAGAATGTCAGTACCCAATGTGCAGTCATTTATACAAAAACAGCTTTTCTTCTGCTGTTACCAGCTGAATCACGCTGTGGAAAGATAGGAGTGTACCTAACACCGGGAAACACTGCTTAAGACTCAGCTATGGCTATAGGTGGAATCTCCTGTTAGTTTAAAAAAGATCACTCTTTTTTTGTTATTATTCTTAAACCTACTTTTTAAAAAGACCATATATTGAGCTCCTGCATATTAAATAGACCTTAGATTATGACAACCACAATCTATTACAAGGTGACTATTCTACAGTCACCCAACCCTTCTAATAAAAATGTCCCTAAATGCTTCTCCCACAGGACAAGGCAGACTGCTGGAGATGAAGCATGCTTACTGAAGCGCTCTGCTACAGCTAAAGGACCTAAAAACAGCTGAGCATCGCCTTCAGCATCCAGCACGGAGACAAGACAGTTGGGTTTTGGTAAGGTTTTGTGGAAAGGCTTTCTGAGTCTCAACTGATTTCAGGGGGGAAAAAAAACAAACCCAAAAACCAGTGTGGTGTGTGACACTACAGAGCTCTGACACCCTTCAGTGAGGCTTCCCAGTCACAAGAATTCTCAGTGCTCAGGACAGAAATGATACATATATTACCTTCAACTGCTCTAGAGCAAAAGGTGAACCATCCTGCTGTAAATTTTCAATAATCTGTTCCACATTATTGGCAGAGAACCAACTATAAGAAAGGAAAAATGAGATTTCACCAATGTAGTATTTCTACTTTCTGAGATAACAATGAATCTAAACATAGGCTTCCCCCAAACTCCATTTCTAAAATGAAAAATTTTCCAACCTATTTTACAGGAAATAAAATATTGCTTCTCTGGGTAAGTGTTTTTGGTCTACCTTTGCTAATGTAAAATAAAGCCTAAACTTTCTCTTTTGCTGTCTTCCATCTATTTATAAATAAATGATATATTAACTGTGAAAACCTGAGGCTTCTAAAATGTGGAGATAGTTGTCTTATTTTCTAAGTTTTTCTCCTCTGTGTTCCTTATGCCAGTCTGTCAATCTCTCAAATCACTGCACAAAACCATTTGCTGATGGGTTTAACAGGACCTTCAGAGAAGGTGACTTTACAAAGATAAAAGGTAAGTTAATTCAATTATTTTTTAGCCTCTCTTCCCCACTTAAAAAAAAAAAAAAAAAAAAGATGTTTTTCAATAAAATGAGCCAGCATGAAAGATTACTTAAATATAATGGATTTATTTCCCCTGCAAGTGGACAAGAAGCTCTTTTCAAAAGTAAGTAAAAATAAAAGCACTATGCTATCTGATTTCAGAATTAGGTACATTATCAAACACAATGTAATTACAATGTTAGCAAATTCCACTTAATATACAATTTCCAAAGTAACAGACATAATTGAGATCTCTTTAAGTACCTGTTTATTTTGTCCATATGTTCCTCAAGTATGAAAGGCTTGCCTTGATCAATCTTGGACTGTTGGAAAGAAAAATCTGTAAATTAATTTGAAATAATATTTTTTAAATCCTTAATAATTTCCTATTTAATGATACAATTATGACAGATTATCACTTTCAAATTACATGCAACAGTCTCATAAATAACTACTACTGTATCTTCAAAATTCAGGCGTTATTTCAGACTAGCACTTGAAACTGTCAAAGGCCAAAAATGTTCTTGTATTTTTATTTTCATGGCATTATATACGATATATTATCACTAAAGTGTGTCAATAAATTTGAGAACTGTAGAAGCCCGTTTTCAACGTAAGCCTAAGAAGTCACCCTGCCCAAATTTCCACGTGATATAAAAATTCCTCCCGCATCCCTGATTCCCCTGGTGGCTCTCACCGCCAGAGTGGCAGACCAGTACCTCAGTAAGAAACTCAGAAGTGCTTGAACAACTATAATTAGAATTTTTAAAAAATTCTGAACCAAAAATAAGCCCTCCCATATTTCTAGTTCTAGTTAATCCGTCTGCACCTTAATCTTCTCACATAGTGCAGTTTTGTACCCCCTCGCAATCCAGATCCTGCTACGCATCCACGAATTCCAGTTTATCAAGGTCATTGTTAAAGTGTGGACAGCTTAGCTGCAGGTGTGGCTGAATTACAACAAAGTACAGCAGGACTCCACATATCTTTGTTTGTTTTGGGTACAAAGCTTTAACTAATAGAACTCTGGGTTTGTTTTGGGGCAGTCCTGTTTGGCTGCTGATTCACACCAAACATTAAAACTTTTTAAACCGGTGCTATTATAGGCTACATTTCTCTCATCCCATGCTTAAAAATTTGGTATTTTGAACTAAAATCCAAAATTTTCACTTATCTTTATTGTGATACTGTGATTTAAAGTAAATATCTATTTTGTCTTTCATTCATGACTCACTATTCCCAAAACCCTTGGAATATCTTAAGCAGTGCATCTTTTGTTTTAATATTTGGTCTTCTGTCTTCAATTCCTGAAATAAAGGTGAAATGGGTATCTTGTTCTTAACAAGTCCCTTCCAACCACACCACTGTTGGTTAATGAGGTGAGTTTGGAAAGGGGCAAAGGATGGGGGCTGGTTGCCAGGGGAACGAAACTTGGATTAGAACGTTGGAAGTTTCAGTCCCATCGCCCACCACCCCCCACCTCTCCACCTCCCTCCTGTCACCTCCACCAGGGAAAGGAGCTGGAGATCGAGCTCAATCACCAACAGCCTGTGATTTAATCAGTCATGCCCATGCAATGACGCTTCCATAACAACTCAAAAAGGATGAGTTTGAAGAGTTTTCAGGGCTGGTGAACACAACCACATTCAGGGAGAGGCTGCACCTCAACTACACAGGGACAGAAAGAAGCTCCTGCGCTTGAGACCGTTCTAGACCTTGCACTTCATCTGGCTGTCAATCCATGCCTGTTTCTATATCATTTATAATAAACTGATAAGTGTGAAGTGTTTCCTTATTCTTGTGAGCCATTCTTGCAAATTACCATAACCAAGGAGGGGGTCATGAGAACCCCAAATTATTGTCGGTCAGAAGTACAGGTGACATCATGGGACATGGGCCTGACATCTCAAGTGGGGTCAGTCTTGTGGGACTGGGTCCTTAAGTTGTGAGATCTGACACTAACTCCAGGTAGATGGTATTAGCATTGAAATGAATTAAAGGACAACCAGATGGTGTCACAGAGAATTGCTTGATGGGTGGGAAACTTACACATCTGGTGTCAGAAGTGACTGTGGGAGTAATGTGAACGTAAAGAAAAACACAGGGAGTGTTTTCACATTTATTGCTATTAAATCACTCTAAACCCAAAGGGTTGTTTTTAATCCATAGCCTTTTACCTAACTTAACTTTTATTTTTGGTTTGAAATCAGTTTTATCCAAAACACTGTCAACATTCTCATCCAAATCACTGAAAAAAACACTGAGTAAGACAACGCTAACATGACTTCTTACAGACTAGTACCTATGGATTTAACAGATCTCTTTGGTAAGGCTCCATTGGGGGTTTGGTAACCACACACTAGGACCCAGCCCGTATTTATGCAGCGTGCCAACAAGAGAAGCTGTCAAGTGCTTGACAAAAGTCTGAAGAAATGCTCACATGCTGTATTCACATTAATTGCACTGAGTATTCAAGGGCCCTGTCAATCAGTTCTCACACGTGCTTCGCTTCTGGGTAATTTTGGGGTACTATTTCTCTAAATATTTCCACCCCTCTATCTTCTCTGTTATGAATTCCTAATAAGTATGTAGTAGACCTCCTGGAAAAATACCTCTAATTTTCCTTTCTCTTCAATTTCTATCTTATTTATTTTTTTGCCCCCAGAGTTTCCCTCAACCATCAATTTTAATCTAATCTGTTGAAGATTATTTCCTCCCTTGCTATCCTGTTTTAAATTTCTTTTTGTCCTTTGATTAATTCTCTGCATAATATCTGTTCTTACTTCATGTATGAAATATTTCCCTCTTATCTGATGACAATTATAGGTTTGTTTCTTTTTAAAGTTTCCCTGTTCTCTCTGCATTGTCTGCTTCCTTCAAGTCCCTTTTTTGTTCACTTCGGCCAGTCTCGGGTTTTTTATGCCTGGCAATCCTTGTTTTTCTGTGTAAAGCACTAAAGTTAGGAAGCTCTGTGTGTATCACCTGCAGTTATAGGACTGTCAATTGTCTTATGTATTAAAGACTATCAGGCAAGGACCGGGATGTGTCATTAGAAGACTCCCTAAATGTCAGTATCTATAGGTTTTTTCCTTTTCCTTCTTATGTACTGCTGGAGAATAGGGTGATGCTATGGACTGTTTGTGATTCCCCCGCAAAACTCATGCTGATACCCTAATCTCCAGTGTGAGGGTATTTGGAAGCAGGGACTTAGGGAGGCTATCAGGTCAAGAGGATAGAGCTGTCATGAAGGGACTGGTGCCTTTCTAAGAAGAGATCTGAAAAAGGTCACCTTTTCTCTCTCTGCTGTGTGAGATATAGCAAAGTGGCTTCCACTTACAAACCAGAAAAAGGATCCTCACCAGGAACCTAATTGTTTGGCATACTGACCTTGAACTTCCCAGCCTCCAGAACTGTGAGAAATAAGTCTCTGATGTTTAAGCCAGCTAGTCTATGGTATTTTTGTCATAACTGTCCAAATCGACTACGATAGATGGTATGTAATGGTTCTGGAAGCCATCAGGGAAAGAGGCTAGAGGTCTTCCCATTTAGTATGTTCTGCCTCTTTTCAGTAGAGCACCTCACCTACCCCTGTCCCAGATAGGCCTCTTTAAGGAGTCTCTACTCTCCTGCCAGGCTATGAGAGGGTAGCTGCTCCTTAGAAAAATTTGCAGCGATCTTCCTATTTTTATGCCCTATTCCACAGCCCTGCCTTCAGACTGACCCAGTATCTTACAAAGGGTCCAGAGCAACAACTGACTCACTTCTTATTGGTTCCCCCACTAAAGGATAAGATTTTAGTGTTCTCTCTCTAGCGTAGCTGCCCTCATCCTTCCAGGGTTCCAAAATAGTGGCAGCCCATGCCTGCCATTGTTTCCTCTTCTATTCTATTTATCTTTGTGGATTCGTGCCCATTTTATTTCTTATTACAATTTCAGTGGGGTTTTAGGAGACAGCATTATTCAATCCTTCATGTTTAACTAGAAGTCATGTAGCATTTTAATGGACTCTTGGCTCTTAAAAGTAAACTTAAGTTAGATAACATAAGTAAGGAATTAAAATTAAACACTGCAATAGACCATATTATATTTAGTTATATACCAGAGTTTTGCTTTAGCATCTTCCCAATGTCAACACTGAACCTCCATTACAGAAATGTCACAATGTGTTGCAAAAAGCCCCTGCAAGGGCCCATCATGAGGCTATGCACCAAAATTCAAAAGCAATGAGAAGACAAGCGTTGCAGTTGCACAGTAGTATATTCTTAGACGGCTATTACAACAATTCTGAAGCAAGACCCTCCCATCGAGCTTTGAAGTAAATAAATCCCAGTATATTTATATATACCACAAACTATAATGTTCATCAATTGCTATTTTTCAATCACTTACCCTTCCCCATAAATTAAAATCTGAGGTTAGAATACTGTATTACCTTCATATGGTAAGTTTCTAAGACATCTGCAATATTTTCTTTTGAAGGAGATTTCAGGGCTAACAAATCTTCTTCTAACATGCCCAACTAAAGGTAAAAAAAAAAAAAAAAAAGGGTGGGGGACAGATTTGAAACACCATTGTTAACACAAAAACAATTTTTTAGGAATCTTTTATTTTTTTTTTTAATATTCTTTTTTTTTTAAATCCCTGTCTTAAAATTATGATGCTCTCTCTCTTCAGCTGAGTCACTGAAGGACATTTTCAATGAAGTTGTGCATACACGGTCCCACACAGCAGATGTTGCCTTGCAAGGAATGAATAAAGGTGGGGAAATTAAAGGGGAGCAGTAGAGATATTCATCTTCGTTTCCTCCTGGTTATTGAGCACTTGAAACGTGGTATTGCAACCAAAGATCTGAACTATAAACTTTAATTAATTTTAACTTAAATTACCACATGTGACTAATGACTACTATAATCATACAGCTCTATAATATAGCCACACTTAAATCTCCATTTATACCCCTCACACACTTATCCTATGCTCAGCCAAATTAAGCTTTTTACTGTTTCCAAAACATAGCTAATGTTTTCCTGCCCCTGTATGCTTGCTCATTAAATGTTTCCTCTATCCAGGATGCCTTTTCCTGACCGTACACATCTTAAAACTCAGCTGAACTGCCACTCGATGAGAAGACTTCTAGTCCTTCCTTGTAAGTAAGCCCTTCCGCCCTTCAGTAATCAGTGAGTGCTTGCTTTGTATTGTCTTTACACTTGTTGTATCTTACTCTGTCATATGAGACAGATGGTTATTTACATTTTGTACCCACCTCTACCTGGCCCCATTCCCAGTGCGCATTATTGTGCGTCTCTCATTCCCGTTATCCCTACAGGCCCTGCGAGTGGCAATCTTCGTGCCGCAGACATTATGACTGCGCAAGCCAGCAATGAAGGAGAAGGCTGTGACTCAGCTTTTTCTGCCGTCCTTAACTAAATTCTGCTATAATCAAGAGTGCCTCCTCAGAGTAGGTAATGGAGTGTCCATGTTTGTTTCCTGTTACAGCCCAAAAGGATGAGACAGTCACCTTTTCAATGTGACTGAGGATGCCATAACATGGAGAAACATCTGAAACTTCAAGCACATGTGATAGAGGGCCCTCATAGCCGTGTATAGGGGACAACCTCCAACTTTGTCTACTTCATTCATTTATAGCATACCTTCTGCTACCCCAAAACACCCCTCACTCAAGAGCACATCTTCATTTGGAAATCTCTATGTTTCCTGAGAAGCTCAATTCACCCCCCAGTTCCAGGAATGGAGCACATTACTAGGATAAGCTAGTCGGGTATTCCGCCCACCCATGTGGTCCAAGGGTGATATAAACTAGTCCAATCAGAGAGAGCTAAGCCAGTTGAAGCAGAATAAATCCCAAATATCTTGCTGGGAATTCTGAGACAAAATCACCTTGAACTGGGTTTTCTGTTACATTTAACACAAGTAGTTTTCTTTTTTTTTTTTTTTTTTTTTTATTTTTTTTTTTTTTTTTTTTCCCCCCCCCCCCCCTTTTTTTTTTTTTTCTTTTTTTTTTTTTTTTTCTCCCCCCAACTACTGCAATAAAACTGGTGCCACCTTTTGGGAGATGGGAAAACGCGGGGCTAAAGGAGTTAAATGTAATCTAGTATTTAACCCCGGGCTGACTGACTACACACTCTTTGCCGCTGTGCTAAGAAAACTGGAACACTGTTTTTAACAAAAAGACAAGGTAGCAGTCCCTTGCAACAGATATCCTTTAGGAAAGTTTTTAAGACCATATTTTACAAATGCACCACGGAAACTAATAACCAAAAGACTTTCAAAAATGTTTTTATAAAATAAAAGCCTATCTTTTATAACTTTAGATTTTATATATTAGACTTCCTTAAAGTATTATTTTTTTTACAGAATGTAATTATTCATTAAAAAATATTCACTGAAGGTGTCAGACAAAACAGCTCTGAATCTAGATAAAATCATCTCCATTTTGTGTATGAAGAAAATGAACACTGGAGAGTTCAAGAACTTTCCCTAAGCTCACAGAGCTTTAAGCAGCAGATCCAGGATTCAGACCCACATCTACCAAAGGCCTATGATCTCAGCCACTCATACGGCCTCCCACATAATATGAGTTATTCCAACAATACAAAAATGCAACCATTCAAGTAATTACCTTTTCAGAATCTACAAAATGTGTAGCAATTCCTACTTTGTACACATCTCTTCCTTTCAGCTTGAATCCTGTTAATGCAAGGAAGTAACCAAGTTTTCCTTGAAGTCTTGGCAAAAAATAACCTCCACCGACATCAGGGAATAGTCCTGTAATTAAGTAACAAAAAGAGATAGCAATGACTCAAATGAAGGAGATGAACATAACTTTATTTACTTTAGATCAGCTTGGTATCAAACAACACCTGTGTAGGAGGAAACTACCTGAGGCTAGGGCAAGAACCATAAAAAAGGATTACAGAGAAGAGTAATAGGAACCCACACAAAGCTCAGAATAGTGCCTGTTTCCACCAGTCAGATAAGAAAAACCTCATGATTCATGGAGCACTGAGTAGAATACAAAAAGGAAAATAATTAGCACTAGCCTGAATCTCACACAGGATTTTATAATTTCTTCAACAACAATATAATCTGAAGTAAGATGTATCTAAGTAAGATGATTTAAAAGTAATTATGAATTTTTTTTAATTACCTATTGCAGTCTCCGGCATTGCAAAAAGAGTCTTTTCAGTAGCCACTCGGAACTGTCCATGAACCGAGAGTCCAACTCCCTAGGGAAATAAGACAAAAAAAAACAAAAAACAAAAAACAAAAAAAGTTTAAAAATACTGTAAAAAATAAAAAGAAACTCATACACTCACAATATTATGAACCAAGTAAATTATCTTTATATTCCCCAGGAATTTCAGAAGATAGACTGAAGAGAAACCCTACAGCACACAATTTCAGAAGATCTTACTAGGCAAAAAAATACATGGGCATCCCTGCTACCTGGAATAGATCTGTTTTAGATAAGACATTTTCACTCAGCATTTCTGTGCTTTGCTTTATGTCCTCTTCCCCAGATACCTTGCATTTCAAACTAGATGCAGCATCAAAGAATACTGATTTCTCAGAACTACTGGGTGTTGTTAGTGGTACCGGTCTTCAAAAAAGCATAACCAAGCTATTCTAGAAAATTTCAGTAGCTTTAAAGTAGAATATTAACATATTTCATTTATTCATATATTTCATCGAATAAAATTAGCAAGATCACTTTTCTCAGATACAATGGGGTCAACCATATAACTCTTTAAAAATGGTTACTAAAACATAAGTTTTAGAAAAATAAAATGACTGGCAGAAAACCTATCTCTAACTTGTTGAATGTCACTGAAAAGGACAAACTTAACAGTCATCTCTGAATAAAAACATATCTGAATCATATTTAAATCAACAGACATCTGTATAAAATAAATAACAGGTATACAAGTGATAACAAAGTACCCAAATTTATGTCAGTCTTCACATTATAATATACATATCTTATGTTCTTTTCACACTGTCCAGAACTTCTATTAGATGTTGTTCTCACTCTTAATCCTTTCTACCCAGTCACACAGTTAAATTAGTTAAAACATGTAAAATATTTGAAACAATGTCAGGCATTAAGAGTTCTGAAGAGTGAGCTCAGTAGAAAAGGAAATAAAGGATCATCAGGTCTTCAATTTCCTCTCAAATGGTTCAGAAAAAAATTATTCAGATACATGTGGGGAAGAGGAAGAGAGAAAAAACAAATGGGGAAAATGAGAACAAGGAATGTGTATGAAGGATATACAGGAGTTTTTTGCACTACTCTTGCATCTTTTCTGAAAGTTTGAAATTGTTTCACAATAAAAAGTTTTTAAAAATTAAAAATAAATGTCCCAAAGTAAATAGAGCCTACAACCACAGGTAAGAAAAGAAACTCAGAAAGATATTCAATGGGGCGATGTGATGAATGCTTATGCAGTCATGGATTTAATTCTAATCAGAGAGAATGCGTAAGCTCCTGCCCAGAATGAACACTGCATCAGCATCAGAGAGTATGTGAGAGACTCTCCTCACCACCATTTACGATCATAAATGGTGCATTAGTTCACTAAGCTATAAAATTAAATATCATAAGTTTCATAATGTATCTCTGGAACGCTCGCAGTCTAGTCATCAGGCTCCACAGTAAAAACAAAGACTTTTTATTATGCTTCACACATGAATGTTAATAAGCTAATACTGCATGTAATGATGTTAATACATTAATAATATAAGTATGAATGTATTTTCATAGAGGAATATACAGAGATCAGCAGCAAACACATTTTTTATCCTGCTTTTTTTTATGCTATTACATTTGTAACATTCATTCTCCCCTTTGTCCCCCTCCACCCTGTACACACTCCCTCCAGCATTACCCCCACCCCCATAGTTCATGTCCATGGGTCATGCATGTAAGTTCTTTGGCTTCCTCATTTCATATCTTATTTTTTTCTTTTTATTTTTTATTTATATATAAATCATGTTTATTCTATTACAGTTGTCTCAATTTTTACCGCTTTACCCCCTCCACCCATCCCACCCCCACCCCCTGCTCCCACAGTCAATTCCCACTCTGTTGTCCATGTCCATGGGTCATTCATACATGTTCTTTGTCTAGTCCCTTCCCCTTCTTTCCACCATTGCCCTCCTTTCCCATCCTCTCTGGTCACTTTTTCAGTCTGCTCCATGTTTCCCTGCCTGTGGTTTATTTTGTTCATTAGTTTATTTTGTTGAATAGAGTCCACTTATAGGTGAGATCATATGGTATTTGTCTTTCATCAACTGGCTGATTTCACTTAGCTTAATATTCTCCAGTTCCATCTATGTTGTCGCAACAGGTAGGAGTTCCATCTCTCTTTCTTAAATGTAGACTGATTTTATTTATTTTTTAAAGTTAAAGTTAATTATATAATGTCAAAGTTAATTATAAAATATTAAAAATTTTAAAACCATTATGAAATCTCAGCAATTAAACCAACATGACATTAGCACAGAAATAATCAAGTAGATCAATGAAATGATCTAGATCTTGATCTAGATACTTGATCTAGAATGAACATTCTAGAGACAAATGTATATATCTGATTAATATATGTATGATTAAGTTGATATTTCAAATCAATGGGTAAAATAAGGCTTATTAAACAAATAAGGTGCATGGACCACTATTACTTGAAATAAAACAAATATAGAGCCCTATTTCACACATTATACAGGAAATATTCAGGTGAGTTAAAAAATCAGTATGTAGAATCTAAGGAGTTTTAGAAGAAAATAGAACTAATATTTTTCATGACCTGAAATGAAATATTCAACCCCAGAAGCTATAAAGTAAATATTGACAATATGACCATATTAAACATTTAACTATATAGTAATATACATATAAAAAAGTTAAAGGACAAGGAATAGAATAGAAAAGTATTTGCAACACATCTAAAACATGGTTAATAGGTTTTTTGTTTCTTGGTTTTTTTTTTTTAGGGAAAAAAGTTCTACAAACCTTTAATCAATAAATAGGTAAAGAATACCAAAAAGTCATTTAAAACCTTTTTTTAAAAAAAAAAATAGAAATAGCCAAGAAATATACTAAAACAGGTGTAATTTCAACGAATGGTAAAGGAACATTAAAATAACATCATTGTCACAATCAGATTAATGACTGTTAAAAATATTGGTAATATCGAGTATTGGCAACTGTGAAAGGAACTGGGTATTCACTGAAACTTTTTCTTCATCTTAAAGCAGTCCCTTTAGCATATTTTTCAGTGCTGGTTTGGTGGAGGTGTATTCTTTTAGCCTTTTGTCTGGGAAACTCCTTATTTCACCTTCCATTTTAATTGAGAGCCTTGCTGGGTAAAGCAGTCTTGGTTGCAGACCTTTGCTTTTCATGACTTGGAATATTTCTTGCCATTCCCTTCTGGCTTGCAGTATTTCTGTTAAGTCAGATGCTAGCTGTATCAGGGCTCCCTTATATGCTACTACCTCTTTCTCTCTTGCTTCCTTTAGGATTCTCTGTTCGTCTTTGGTATTTGCCATTTTAATGATGATGTGTCTTGGAGTGGGCCTCACTGGGTTCCTCTTGAATGGGACCCTCTGTGCTTCCTGGACTTGTGTAACTGTTTCTCTCCTCCAATTAGGGAAGTTTTCCATCATTACTTTTTCAAACAGGTTCTCTATCTCTTCCTCATCCTTTCTCCTTCTGGTATCCCTATTATACGGATATTATTATTATGTTTCAGGTTGTCCTGCACTTCCCTAAATGCCTCTTCATTCTTTTTTGAGTCTTTCTTCATTTTCTTGCTCTTTCCGGGAGTTTTCTACCTTGTCCTCCAGCTCACTGACTCGTTTCTTAGTTTCATCTAGCCTGCTTTTAATTCCTTCTACTGTGTTCTTCAATTCAGAAATTGTATTCTTCATTTCCTCTTGTCTCTTATTGATAGTTTCTATGTCCTTTTTCATGCTGATATACTTTGTGGTAAGTTCCTTGTAGTTTCCCTGGAGTTTTTGGTAATCCTCTCTGAGCTCACTGAGCTCACTGAGCTCATTGAATTTCCTTAGAACCGTTGTTTGGAACTCAATATCTGATTGTTTACTTGCCTTTATTTCATTTAGTTCTCTTTCTGGGGATTCCTCCCTTCCTTTCGAGTGGGGAGTATTTCTTTGTCTTCTCATTATTTGTGAGACTCTTCTCTTTTGCTTCTGCTTCTTAAGTTGATCTGTCTTGATTTCCTGACTTTGCGGTGTGAACTTCTATGGTTGGAGACCACTCTTTTTACTCTCCGGATCTGCCCCTGATGATGTCAGATGTTGACCCTGTCTCTATCCTGCATTTTTAAATGCATATACCAAGGTCTGTCAGGAAAAAGTCCAGCCATTGTTAATATAATGAGAACAGTGTGTAACACTGAAATAACCTGATAGCCAAGGAGAGTGGACTTGAATGCACATACATAAACAATGGTGACTTCACCGTGCTAGTCAGCGGTGGTGGTAAACACCGCTGAGTGAGCATGTACTCTGTGGCCATCGCATTCAAAAGTACTGAGTGAGTAGAGCAACAAATCTGCATCAAACTTTGCATTAAGCTACAACATTCCTCTGCAGAAACTATTCAGATGATTCAGAAGGCTTTCAGGGATAGTGCAATGAGTGCAGTGCAAATAAAAGTGTGGAACAAAAAGCTTCAAAGATGGTGAAGAATCTGTTGAAAGTGATACACGTTCTGGAAGGCCTGCAATAAACAGCACCTGAGAATGGTGAATGTGTACGGGCTGCAATGACCAAATATCGGTGACTGACAGTGCAAGAACTAGAATCTGATCTGGGCATTCCAAAAATACTATGTCCAAGATTTTGACACAGGATCTTGGCATGAAACGTGCTGTGGCAAAATTCATTCTGCAGCTTTTGCTACCAGAGCAGAAGGAACACCGTGCTGCAGTTGTTATTGACTTGATTCAAACTGCTACCAATACACCAGATTTCCTCAAGAAGGTCATAACCAGAGATGAATTGTGGGTCTACAGCTGTGATCCAGAAATAAAGGCCCAGTTGTCCCAATGGAAGTCATCTAGTTCTCCATGTTCTAAGAAGTCATGGCAAAGTCCCAGTAAGATTTTGACCATGTTAACTGTGTTTTTTTATTGGGAAGGTATTGTCCATCAAACAATTAGGAGTACTACCTCAATGTTCTTCGTCGTTTGAGAGATGCAAT